CCTCCTGGTGGCAAGACCCGGGACCTCTCTCTGGCTGCGGGTGGTAGAAAATGATGGACCAGAAAGTAAGCTCCAGAAGATGTCACAGCATTCCTTTATGGTTTGAAGGAAAATGGCCATACTTATTACTGAATGACTGGATGAAAATGCTCTAGGCTTTACGAAATTTTTCCAATTTTCTGCCTTGCTTCCGTTTAACCTTGGCAAAAATACAAATTAACCAAAATAGAATTTTAAAGAGGCTAGAGAGTGTAAGCATTTCTAAGGATCGGATGGGATGGACAGAGATTCTGGCACTAGGGAACCACGGAATAATGAGTGTTACAGCTCGGATCGAACGGTATTCTGGCACTCAGGAGCCTAGGAATACCACAGGTCACAGTGGCCCTAGTCCTGGCCACTCACTCACTGGCTGGGGGCCAACGTGAGCTAAGCCATTGGAAGGGCTCCATTGATGTAGAGATGTACAGCTCAACTCAAGGCCTGCTCATGGCTAACTCCTTCAGTGATATGTTTGCTTCGTTTTTTGAAGCTGCCCATTTCTGGGACCCATTGTATTGTCCGTGCAACCATTGGTTTCTCCCTCATGGCAAAGGGGCAAAAGGGTGTCTAGTGGTCTGAGCTGATAAAAATCATGATGTCTTGGTTCATCTCTCCACTGCTTTCTGGTATTAAGTCTGGAATTTTATTCTTCCTTGTTCGTGCATTCATCCTTCATAAGGCAGATCCAGTTCTGAATGGCTTACATGCTTTTCTGGTTTTTTTATGCCTATTCAATTGGAATAAACCTCTTTTCTATTATGTATACTGGAGCACGGTTGCTGAGCTTTGACAAATTTCCTCTGTGGGGTACCATCCTCATCTCGGTTGGATGTGCAGTTTCCTGTGCCCTTTTTGCTTGGTTCTTTGTATGTCCCAGGATGAAGAGAGAAATTGAATGGGAAATAAAGTCTACCCCCTCCAAAGTCCCTTAATGGAAAAGAAGAACAACTTGAAAGAAGACCATGAAGAAACAAAGATGTGTCTTGGGAATGTTGAGAACATGATCCCGTATCTGAGGTAGCATGTGCCACTGGGCCTCTCTGAGCTGCAGTGGAGGAGAGAACAGTGTCGTGTCATTCAAACTTGGGGACCTGGAGAAAGCTCCAGAGCAAGAGCGGTTTCCCATGGACTTGAAGGAGGAGACCAGCATAGATGATACCATCAATGGTGCAGTGTAGTTAGTTGCTTAATGGAAACCTCGCTCAGTTCAGCCAAACGGTCAGCAACCAAATCAACTCCAGTGGCCACTATCAGTATCACACCATGCAAAGATTCTGGCTTGTACAAAGAGCTGCTTCATAAATTACATCTGGCCAAAGAGGGAGACTGCATGGGAGACTCTGGGGACATGCTGTTGAGGTGCAACAACTGCTATACTTCCTACACCATGGCAATATAAGGCATGGCCCTGGATTCATTCTGTGTCAAAGAGGGTGAACAGAAGGGAAAAGAAACAGAGATGCTGACATGGCCTAATGCAGACACCAAGAAGTAGATTTGAATGGACAGTTACACCACTGAATCTGAGATGGACATGACTGTTAGGGCTGAGAAGGGAAGCAGAAAAGGAAGTAGGGGCTCTCTTGAAGAATGGTATGACCAGGATAAGCCGGAAGTCTCTCCCTCTCCAGGTTCTGCCGATTCTTACAGCCCGCTTTGGGTCATTTGCCCATGGTGGCAATGACGTCAGCAATGCCATAGGTATTCTGGTTGCTTTGTATCTTGTTTATACAATTCAAGATGTGTCTACAAAGATGGCAACACCAGTATGGCTTCAGCTTTATGGTGGTGTTGGCATCTGCATAGGACTGTGAGTTTGGAGAAGAAGGGTTGTCTGGACCATGGGGAAGAACCTGACACCAATCACACCCTCCAGTGGTTTCAGTATTGAACAGGCATCTGCCCTTACTGTGATCATTGCATCAAACATTGACTTTCCCATCAGCACAACACTCTAAAGTGGGCTCCATTTGTGTCTGTTGGCTGGATCCTATCCAAGAAGGCTGTTGACTGGCAACTGTTTTGCAACACTTTTATGGCCTGGTTTGTTACAGTCCCTACTTCAGGGGTTATCAGTGCTGCTATCATGGCAGTATTCAAATACATCATCCTGAATGTGTGAAGCTAGGGTTAACATTTTGTCTGGGACCACCATACACATTCCTATTCCTACAAGAATGCTCAAAGTTAGAGTTAGAGACCAGCCTGGTCTATGAGAGCTAGTTCCAGGACGGCTTCCAAAGCCACAGAAACCCTGTCTCGAAAAACAAAACAAAACAAACAAACAAAAAAAGAATGCTCACAGTGTTGCCAAAGACAGACAAGGGGCTTAAAGTTTGGGAGCCACTGGGAAGGAAGTATAATTTACACTATAATTGCTTTTGTGCTAAATATGAGGTCTCAAAATCAGCTATGTAAAATAGACAGGTTTCCATTGGTTCATCCTAAGGTCCATTTTCTTCTGGGCTATGAGTTCCTGTACATATTTCTCTACTTTTGTATCAGGCATCAATCCCAATATATTTTAATGTTGTCTTTAAGATAACTTATGTGGGCTCTTTTTAAACAGTCAGGCAGAGCCATTTGATGGCAAGAAATAGCTTTGTTGGCCTTACCAGTTTCTTCCCCAACATGCACAGGGATTTAACAAACATGTAACTGAAGCCTCCCTCATAGTCTCTCATAGAAATAGTCATGGTGCTCTGCCCCCCTGTCAGTTGTAACAGGTTCTGTTTACATAGGTGGGAACTTCTTAGAGGGACAAGAATCTTTGGCACAGTGAAAATAAAAGTTTATAGTAACTTCTTTGCAAACAGCTCCTGGACATATTGCTAAGAAGTGTAAAGACAAAGCCTCCTGGCAGTTGTGGGTATTTATTTTGAGATCTTTGGCAGTGTGAGATAGGTGAATGAAGTGCAATGTGAACTTTGGGCAAATTCAATGGGGTGGCCTTCCATGTTCATCTGTCTACCTCTTAAATGAATAAAAAGCCTACAGTTTTTAGAAAAAAAAATAGTGGCCCTGGCCCTGGCAAACAGTGGCACTGGCCCTGGCACTGGTCCACAGTGACCCTGGCCCTGGCCCACAGTAACCCTGACCTGGTCCTGGCTCACAGTGGCCCTGGCCCACAATGGCCCTGGTCCTGGCCCTGGCCCTATCCCACAGTGGCCCTGGCCATGTCCTACAGTGTCCCTGGCCCTGGGCTGCAGTAGCCCTGGTCCTAACCCACAGTGGCCCTGGCCCTGGCCCAACCAACAGCCATAAGCTGAACAGGCACAGGGTTTATATAGGGCTTCTTAGGGGCAGAGTTTTTTCCAGGGAGATTTCCAGGGTAGGGATTGGGCAGATTTTAATCCCTGAACTCAGACTGGCTAGATCTCCTGCTCAGGGATTGGTTAGTTTTCTGCACATGTTTAGGGTC